TGCACACAATGCATATTTCTCCAGGTAGATTTGGCAAAAAAAAAAAATATATATATATATATATATATATATATATATATAAATAATATCATATAAAATAATATTATAAAATAAAATATAAAATAAAATAATAAAAAGCCTAAAATGTGGAACACATCCTTGGAGCATAAGAATAACAAGAATGCATGCAATTACACTGAAAGGGGTCTGTTTCGATTTTCAAAAGCAATGCAAAAGCACCAAAAGTCTAAATAAAAGTTTTTCAAAGGACTTGTGCTAATTTGGTGTATTTTTCATTTAAGACTGTCGTGGTTTCATATCATAGTCATGTCATGGAGTTTGACAGCCCAAGTCCTCATTCATTACTGTATATTTAAAACGTGAGCACAATTGACGTGAAGCATGAATAGGAAGGAATCACAACAGGATATTAGATTAAAAAGGAAGTTTTGACTGGGGACACGGATGGAGCATATAATCACCAGCATTAAACTACTACAACTGTTTTTCTTTCTGAAAAGTATTGCAACAAGAAACCAGCGGGTAATGTGGGCTGAGCTGTCGTATTCTGACACAGAGTTCATCATCTGGAAAGCATTGCATTCTAACTATTGTGTACAAACATCTGATAAACATCTTAGGAAAAATACAGATGAAACAGCAGATGGGCAAATGCTCTGAAAATGCCAGATGAACGTCTAGGAAATGTATGCTTCTGAGAGGTGATAAGCTATTAGATGCTTGAACGTCTATGGAATAAGACTCTTTCTCCAGCGGGGGGGAAATAAAGTAATCGTTTATGACACCTTTATGAGGACATGATTATAATTTGAATGCTTTTTAATATGTAAAAAACTTTTGGTTTCAGACATTCAAACAAGTTTTCACTGAAAGTCTCAGAGCCTAAAACATAAAAAAAAATATTGATTGACATTGATTTCAAATGGCATAAAGTTAATTATTGTACATTCTTTGGCCATTTTGCCTATTTTTCCTCTCTCGAAGAATGTTTACTTCAGTGTTTTCAGTTTATAACTTCCACAAAATCATTACATTTCTCTGTAATATGCCTGTAATATGTATGAATTTATAAAAATGTGGAAAACATATGTAGGAATCTGCCCCCTGAACAACAAAACACATAAAATTGCATCTTTCGCGCCCTTGTAAAAATCACTTCTTATACAGTATGCTCACATATGCCAATTCTTAGAAAAAAAAAGAAAAAAAAAGTCAGGAAAAAAACAGGTTGCCAGTTTGGTGCACAACAGAATAGCATTTCCCCCTTAGGCTATGTGCCTCCACAGATGTTTCATTCAGCCTTTGCAGCATTTGGCCACTCTAAAAGTGCTTCAGCCACTGCATTCCCTCCCATTGTACTGTGAAGGAGAGAGAGAGCGAGTGAGGGAATGACAGGGACAGGCTGTTTACCACCACCCCCTCTTTTCTCCCTGTGTTAGCTTGAGGGAGGCAAAGAGGTGGGGGTTGGGGGACATTGGGGCGGCAGCACAATTGCGAAGGGTCCAGCTTGGAGCTCCGGGCGGCACAGAGGGTCATAGAATGGAGCTGCGCGTCTGGGCCTCCCGAATCCTGAATCCGCCGGGTGGGTGGTCTCCTCTCTCCACACCCATTCTCTCTCTCTCTCTAATTCGCTCCTCTGCAACACCTCCAAGAGAAACGATTAGCTCATCCACTCTGGCCAGCACTTGAGCTCTGATGTGGCAGTCAGTGGCACAGACTGGATTCATTCAGAGCTAGATTAGAGAGCCTCATGGGCGAGCTGCGTGGCCAGGCCCACAGAGGGAGCCGCTGCCTCTGCTGCTGTGCAGTTCTGCTGGTGGGCTCTTTGCACTCGCACTACTAACTGGGTGGCAGTTAGCACTAATCCTGTCACTGATTACCTCTGGCATGAGGAAATAAACAGTAATAACGAATATACAACCTCCTTCCATCAACACACACGAACACTTTCAAACATTTACAGACCTGTGCTTCTTTTTCCTCATCTCCACACGTCAAGATTACACACACACATTTCATTTGGTCCCCACAACGGAGACAACACACTCATTTATTACCAAATCTGACACTTGTTGTATATTCATTACAACACTTCCCAAATAGCACTGTTATTTCTTCCATTAAACTCCATACACATACATACACTACCGTTCAAAAGTTTGGAGTCAGTGCAATTTTTAAAATCTTTTTAAAATGTATTTAAATGTTTCTGAGAAGTCCAAATTATGTCTTTACTGTCACTTTTGATAAACTGAATGCATTTAATGTGTGTGTGTAATATACTGTATACACACACACACACACACACACATTTAAGAAATGAATACATACTTTTGAAACTCTAGTTTACATTCATTCTAGTGAAACGATACACATTTGGTCTACAAGCATTTCATTTGTAATTAAGATAATTTTATGCCACAATATACAATATTTAGAAAATAAATCAATACTAAAATATATCATTTTACATAAAAACAAGGAAAATATATAGTAAAAGTACATATGTTTTTTTTTAAGAAATGTGTGTATATTTTAATATAAAGGTGTTTGATACTACAAGAGATAATATCTACATCACAACACCACTTATTATTACAACAATTATTAATTAAGTGTGTTACTAAAGGGAATTCTTGTAACACACTTCTGCTTTCTCATACCTACAGTGCCACCTTGTGTCTATATGTGGTTTTACAGCTGGATTTACTATCAGCCAGGTGTCCTTAAGTGCAGTAACTCAACCTGCATCTAATGAGTATCCTGCTGCTGCAGAAATACTGTCACTGTCTTTATGTCTTTCAGTGGTATTTCTAAAGGTCATTGTTCCACATTTCATTCATTTGTTCAGCATTTTGTGAAATTATGAAATATTTTAAAATATTCCCCAGAAAAGGAAAAGTATTGTAGTTAAATGTAAGTGCTGTTACCCTATACACTCTCAGAAATAAAGGTACAAAAGCAGTCTATGGGGCAGTACCTATTCAAAAGGTACTAATATACCCCCACTAATATGTCATCCCACTCATTTTCTAGGGTTCGGGTCAGGGGACAGTGATGGCCATGGTGAAACCTTCATTTTGTGCTCACTGACCCATTTTTGTGTTGATTTTGATGTTTGTTTTTGGATCATTGTCCTGATAGAAGATCCAACCTTGGTTCATTATGCAAATCCATGATGCCATGTATCTGAACATGTACTCGGGGCCTCCGGCAGAAAAACAGGCCCACAACATTAAAGATCCAGCAGTATATTTAACCGTGGGCATGGGGTACTTTTTTTTTAAATCCCTGTGTATCCCTTTAAACCCATTTTGTGAATGCCAAAAAGCTATTTTTTTTTTATTCAGCTATTTTCTTACAGCCACCTTCTATTTTGTGAAGCTCAACAATCTTCTGCTGCACATCACAACTATATTCTTTGGTTTTACTTATTTTGATGTACGGTTAAGGGAATTTGGCCTTTGTGTTACCTCATATTTAATATTTACCGTGGGCATGGGGTACTTTTTTTTTTAAATCCCTGTGTATCCCTTTAAACCCATTTTGTGAATGCCAAAAAGCTTTTTTTTTTTTATTCAGCTATTTTCTTACAGCCACCTTCTATTTTGAAATCCCTGTGTATCCCTTTAAACCCATTTTGTGAATGCCAAAAAGCTATTTTTTTTTTATTCAGCTATTTTCTTACAGCCACCTTCTATTTTGTGAAGCTCAACAATCTTCTGCTGCACATCACAACTATATTCTTTGGTTTTACTTATTTTGATGTACGGTTAAGGGAATTTGGCCTTTGTGTTACCTCATATTTATACTCTTGTGAAAGAGGAAATCATGACTGGACAACTTCATATTTGTAGTCACCCTGGTGTGCTAAAAATGTAAATATGAATCGAATTATACTTTGTAGATTTTTTTATATATATAAGAATTTCTAGGGGTGCTAATTATCATGGCCAATGAATGAATGGAAGATCAAAAGTATAAACAGTGCAGAATTATTTCCACAGCCTTCTTTGCTCATATTTACTAAGGGGGCTAATAATTCTGTATCATTTGTGTACTATTATGTACATTTGAGCTACCAATATGCACCCTTAAAGGGTTAAATAAGGCACAAAGTGTACATTTTAAAAAGGTACCATCCCAGTGACAGCTTCGTTCCCTTTTTTTCTGAGAATGTATGAAATACTCTTATAAACGTATAACTTATAAAGCAAAATATCTCAAATGAAATTAATTGTGATTGTAAATTTAATCACTTAACCACAATGCACCACATATGTTCCTATACATCTGTATTTCCCTTTTTTCCTTTGATGCAAACAAAAAGCATACACAACCGGTTTATTTTAATTCGTTGTATTATGCAAATGCAGTAAACGGGGATTTACAAAAGTGCACGAGTTCCTTATGTGCCTTTTTTGGGTAACTAACTGCTGCATCCTGTGGTGGTCATATGTGGAAGTTATGCGGTTATAAACTGAGCACTCGATGTCCTGAGGAAGGAACACACATTTGACTAGACCATATCTTCTCTAAAGATGTGCTGCGCATCAATTCATCTCCTCATTGGTATGTTTAAAGATATATTTTTATTGTTGTTGTTGTTTAAAATTTGCATAACTGCTCAAATTTGAGCAAATAGCTAATAAAAAACAACAACAACAAAGAGCGGAATTAAGATTTAAATCAGTCTTCAAACTAATTGTCTATTTTCCACTGTACATTTGTTGAGGAAAATGCTTTCCATTGGTCATTCAGCCATTTTTGTAGAAGTAGTTATAATTTACAGATGTAGTAATTTGTAGATTGTAATAACAACATGTTCCTCACAACCTGACCTGACATTTATCTTGTACAATTCAGGTGCCTTACTTGTCTTTGCTGTTGAAAATGAGGCCACAACCATGATAACCAGCACAGAAAATACCACAGCTCCAGTTTCAGTGTTTATTCACAACACCACCCAATTCAAAGAAATGGACTTTCTAGACAACTTTACCACTCCAAGCTTCACTGTCACCCTGCCAAACACGACGGTTGTGAATATCACATCAGATGGAGAATCAGGTAGCGTTTTCATTTTGCTTGATCACTTGTCATTCAACCATCCACACACTTTATGCAGCAAAATGGTACAATTGGTAGGAAAACTGTAAGCCAGTTTATATGCTATGCTGCTTGCTTCAACCAAAGAACGTTACATCTGGTGATTTATTTTCCTTTTTGGCCAACAGAATCACCTACTCCACCACCCTCAGAACATCCGCAGACCAACAACTACACCACAGACGATTCTCTGAAGACCGTTTCACAATCAAGCACAAATAATATGATCAAAAGCACAACTACTAGCAAAGAAACCAGTAAGAGAAACAATACTGTGCAAGCATAATGATCACTGATTGTGCCTTTCATTATAAAACTTAACACATTTGATTTTGCACAAAAGAGCAATAAGAGAATTCTGTTTTAACTTTTAACTTTAATCATAAAGACTGAGTCATTCTCACACAGGAAGGAAGTGTGTACCTTCAGTAGCACTCTTAAAACTGTCACCATATGCCGAAATAAATTATTTTTATTAACCACCTATAAATCAATTTATGAAAAAAGTAAATTAGAGCATAATTTTGCTATTCACCTAAAAATGTAATTATTTTCTTTGTGCAATGCATTTATGTCTATGCATAATTATTTTTTACAGTAACTCAAGCAACGCAACCTATCAAAAACCAGTGGCCAAGTGAGTGATTTTTTCCTTATTGTCAGTGTTTATTCATGTTTTTTTAATTTAAGTTTTCTTGTTTATTTTGAATTGACAGATAAAAACATGTGGTAACACTTTAGTGTAGGGACCAATTCTCACTATTAATTTGTTTATTAGCATGCCTATTTTTAACATTTTAGCTGTTTATTAGTACTTATAAAGCACATATTCTGCATGACCATATTCTACTTCCCTAATACCTAAACTTAACAACTACCTTACTAACTATTAAGCAGCAAATTAAGAGTTTATTGAGGCAAACGTCATAGTTAACGGTTTGTTAATAGTGAGAACTGGACCTTAAAATAAAGTGTGACCAAAGATGTATGTTCTTAATTATTCTTACTGTTTGTTTTTACTCTCAACAGCTTATATAATTATCTTTATCATTGCTGTTCTGTGCCTCTCTGGGGTAGTAGTTTATTATTGCCTTAAAAAGAAATCCAGGGTAAGACATTTTTAATGAATTATTACTGATTGTGAATTTGATCTTTTATAATCATTACAATGGATATATAAACTACATACTAGATAATGATAATGTTTGTCTAATGCAGAAGTACTCTGTGGACTATCATCCCAAACAAGAAGATGCTCAGATCCCACTCAGCACAGTGGATGTAGAGGTGTTTGACACCACATCAGTCAAAGGTACCTGCTATTAATAAGCAGCTAATTAAGAGTTTATTGAGGCAAACGTCATAGTTAACGGTTTGTTAATAGTGAGATCTGGACCTTAAAATAAAGTGTGACCAAAGATGTATGTTCTTAATTATTCTTACTGTTTGTTTTTACTCTCAACAGCTTATATAATTATCTTTATCATTGCTGTTCTGTGCCTCTCTGGGGTAGTAGTTTATTATTGCCTTAAAAAGAAATCCAGGGTAAGACATTTTTAATGAATTATTACTGATTGTGAATTTGATCTTTTATAATCATTACAATGGATATATAAACTACATACTAGATAATGATAATGTTTGTCTAATGCAGAAGTACTCTGTGGACTATCATCCCAAACAAGAAGATGCTCAGATCCCACTCAGCACAGTGGATGTAGAGGTGTTTGACACCACATCAGTCAAAGGTACCTGGCATTCTTAACTTTCTACCACCACAGGGATTTCTCTGCTTACACTGACCTTGTGTTCTACACTTGTTCCCAAAGATATGCAAACATTCACTCCTGTCGAGTCCACCGAACCTGCGCCTGTGAAAGAATCTGAGAAGCCTGAGAGAGGGAAAGGTATGCGACAAGCAGCTGATTTCTGTCAAATACTCTACATTTACATTTAGTCATTTAGCAAACGCTTTTATCTAAAGCGACTTACAAATGAGGACAATGGAAGCAATCAGAATCAACAAAAGAGCAATGATATGCAAGTGCTATAACAAGTATCTGTTAGCTTAACGCAGTACACGTAGCAAGTTTTTTTTTAATTAATTATATAATAAATAAAAAGAGAACAGATAGAACAGAAAAAGAATAGGGCAAGCTAATGTTAGAGGAGTTAAAAGGAGTTAAAAGTTAGTGTTAGTGTTAAATACTCTATGACAGTCACTTCATCTTGAGAAATGCATTATAGTCTAAGTTAATTTTAACACATTTTCGTAAATGTATGAAGACATATAAAGAACTAAGGAGCACAAGAAGCAACCGTATGAAACCACTGTGTGTGTGTGTGTTTGTGAGAAAGCTGCCGTCTCTGAACCCAATACAAAAGTTAATATGGGTAGCTCTTATTAAAAATTGATAAATACAATGAAATTAAATCAAATAAATACTATCTTTCAAAAGTTTGGGGTCAGTTATATTTCTAAAGGAAATAATATACCGGCCCTAAACTTTGAAACGGTTCTAAAAGTTCCTAAACTACTGTATCTACTGTAAACTACGAAAATACGTTTTCGACTAGAGCAAAAATATTTTGTCTATGATCCAAAAGTCTCTTTAGAACCCTGCTGTTGAACTAGTTGCAATAACAGAGAGCTCCACTGGATGGACTTCTAAGACAAGAGTATGTAGCTGCCAGTCTCTCAGTAAAGAATCCTACATTTTACAACAATGAAAGTGAAAGTGAAAGTGACGTGACATGTGGCCAGGTATGGTGACCCATACTCGGAATTAGTGCTCTGCATTTAATCCATCCTAAGTGCACACACACAGCAGTGAACACACACCCGGAGCAGTGGGCAGCCATTTATGCGGCGGCACCCGGGGAGCAGTTGGGGGTTCAGTGCCTTGCTCAAGTGGTATTGATACCAGTCGTGGTATTGAAGGTGGAAGAGAGCGCTGTACATTCACTCCCCCCACCTACAATTCCCGCCGGACCTGAGACTCGAACTCGCAACCTTTGGGTTACGAGTCTGACTCTCTAACCATTAGGCCACGACTTCCCCACGACTTCCCCACAATGATAAAACAGTGCTAACAAAAAATGAACATGAAAAAAATATTTTAAAAATCAGTGGTATTCTCAAATTTAGGGCTAATCCAGTTTCTTCAGTAAACTCGGTTTATGGAAACTCCAAGATTCAAGAAGTGCAATATCCAAGAATCTTCAACTTCAGCTTCGATACTGACAATACTGGGGGAAAAAACGATTTTTACTTCTGAACAAAGCATTTATCAAAGCTGATATTCTTGCTGTCTGCCACAAACCATTATCTGAACTGAGCCTGCATGGACATGCTTCAATGTTTCAATGCCTACAGCATTTAGGAAATAGCCACTTTTGACCTGAGGCATCTGGTCTTTTTGTCTGATCCTTTCCATCTGGAAGACCCATAAAGATGCCTTTGGCTGTCTGGGTTTGCAGATAGAGGTTTATTTATTTATTTTTAAGAAACACTGCTCAGAGTTGTGAGCTCATAGCGTTTCTTATTTATTTGGGATAATATCAACAATGCCAACGCTACGGAAAACTGAATAGTGAGGGTGACTGCAGTTCACTGGAAATAATGACAGCTTACATTTTTCACCCTCACAACTTTTGCAACAGAATATTACACTATTTGCCTACAGTCTAGCAGTTTGAGGAACTTCAGAAGTTCCCTTATTAACAACATTGTCGTTTTTCAGCAGTGCAAAAAAATAGATTATTTATTCACACTCTCACCGACAGAATCAAACAGAGACTGTGATTTTTAAAAAATATTTTATCAACAAGAACATTCACTTGATATTGCATGAATTTCTCAAAAGTGCTTCTGACCTTTATTAAAGGGATAGTTCACCCAAAAATGAAAATTTGATGTTTATCTGCTTACCCCCAGGGCATCCAAGATGTAGGTGACTTTGTTTCTTCAATAGAACACATATGATGATTTTTAACTCCAGCCGTTGCAGTCTATCAGTCGTATAATTCATGGCAATGGTAACAAAATCTATGAGAGTAAAAACTCTCACAGACAAACCCAAATTAAACCCTGCGGCTCGTGACGACACATTGATGTCCTAAGACACGAAACGATCGGTTTGTGCGAGAAACCGAACAGTATTTAGACTGCAACAGCTGGAGTTAAAAATCATCATATGTGTTCTATTGAAGAAACAAAGTCACCTACATCTTGGATGCCCTGGGGGTAAGCAGATAAACATCAAATTTTCAATTTTGGGTGAACTATCCCTTTAATGTCACTTTCATATTTCTTGGTCATAGGATAGGAAGAAATTAAAGAATGCTCTTTTTATAATTTATATTAGTACATTTAAAATACAAAAAAGCAGAAAAGATGACATTAAGACTTTTGGCCTTTTGGACTGAATTAATGTTAAACTAGTGTTAATGGGACAGTTCACCCAAAAATGAAAATTCTGTCATCATTTCTTCATCCTCATGTCATCTCAAGCATGATTTCTTCGGTCACACTTTATTTTAAGGTCCATTTCTCGCCATTAATAAACCATTAACTACAACGTTATCTCAATAAACTCCCAGTTTGCTTCTTATTAATAGTTATAAGGTAGTTGTTAAATTTAGGTGTTAGGTAGGATTAGGGATGTAGAATATGGTCATGCATTATATGTGCTTTATAAGTACTAATAAACAACCAATATGTTATTAATAGCAATTGATCCCTATACTAAAGTGTTACCATTTCTTCTGCTACAGAACACAAAAGATGATTTATTTATGTATTTTGCCCATACAATGAACAGGTCCCTATATTAATAAATCTAATTGACTCATTTGAGGCCAGTTACAGCATCAAATGTACTTGTGTTTATGAATTAGGCTGTGAACACCTTGTTACATGTTAGACAAGATGACAAAGTAAAAGTAACAAATGTGACTAACAAAAGGGAATAGTGGGGTTGTTTGCCTACAGCAAGTGGTGCAATGGCTTAACAGCACAGAATTACTTCCTATGATCTTAGTTTCTCTTCATGCTCCCTATAATCACACAGGATGGTTCTTTTTCCCACCAAAATCTGCTGCCTGCCAATGACAAGCTCCTCAGATTCCTCTTTAGGAACTAATGGGTCTCAATCAGTTTCCTGGCTTCAGCGGCTTTACTTACTGCAACCGCCTCCAGGTCTAAATCAACCACATGGTGGGAGAGAGTGAGTAACAATGAGAGAGGGAAAGAAAATGACCATGGAGGAAAAAATAAAACAGAAGTGTGCATTGCAATGACATAGTGGCTAATGGTTTTACGATGCGTCTTTATCCTGTAAGCGCTGACTTTCCCGTCACAAGGCTGTTTCTACCACCTGCTCATTCGGTTTCTCCCACTGCTCATTTTTAAGATTTACTACACTGAAAATAATAGGAAGCATGAGATATCCTCAGGTTTGAGACCACTGAGGCTAGACACCCAGGTGTTTTGTGTGCAATTGTGTTTTTAAGAGTAGTTAGACTTGTCTGGGAAAAGTTTAAATATTTGATTGTTTAATTCAGAGTAAATTTGTTTGTCGATTAACAGTAGCTATTACACAGTGAATTTTGGTTTTCATTTAGTTTGATGAACTTTTGTTTTGTTTGGTGCGAATACATTTTAATTTTAATTTTGTTGTAAACAGAAATATGAACTTTTTTTGCTTTTTATCTGAACTGAACTTCATGCTCAATTATAGAATATTTTGTAAGCTTGTGGAAAAAAGAAGTCTTTTATATAATGTAAACAATTATGTTCTATGATTTTTACTATGTTACACTTCTTTGTGTGATCCATTATAATAACCACAGCCAAAAACAAATTCTTAAACTTATTCCCTACAGAATCAGCTGATGTTAAACAAGAAAACCAACACAATTTATCCAGCACTCAGGTCACAGAGAACCCAAAGGATAAAATGGAGGTGCTGACCGTAGTGGATCTGACTGATGGAGAACCGACGATCTCCACCAAAACCTCAATGGAATCCCTAGATGATGTTCTCAATGAAAACAACAGCAACAATACAAGAGTTGAAGGTTAGTGAGACTGAGAGAACATAGTTAGACTTTAATACTATCTCTTTCTATTCTCTCTCTATTCACCATTTCTTCTTTTTGTTTCAGTCAAGGGCAATGGGTATGATTTCACTGAAATCTCTATTGATGCTTTACTTCTAAAATAAATCAGGTTCTTCCCAGCATTTTACACTGGTAAGTGTTTTCCAGCGGTCCATGCAGATACATTCTGTACATACTGTGCTGTGCTCCATTAGAGATGTACTCAAGCAAAGGGGGGGAAAAACAGTATACTTTTGATGATTATTGTAACTAAAAGCAGCACTATAGGGCATAAATCACACATTCATATCATGATTCACATTGGTCAGTCCAAGCAAATTTCACTTTTTACTCATGCGGATATGTGGTAAAGGGCATTCCATCTCTCATCACGTCATATCCACAGATGCCGCTCCAGGTCTCATGTCATCAGACACTTGAGAGATATACCACAGCTTTAATTCTCTCTGTCAGGGTGTTTTCTGCACACCTGTGCCCCAGCAGGTTAAAGCTTTATTTCTGTTTGCAGCTCCCAGTGAAATTGGTTTCTCTGTTAACAGCTGATGAGAGACCTTCATCAGCATTTCAGTACTTGATGCCCCACGGTATGGACAATGGAATGCTCCATGGAACGTATATTACAGGAGTCATTCCACACGTATATAGTGTGCTTCCAGAAATGTAACATTTTCAGCAAAAATAGAAATAAATAAATAAATAAAAATAAAATAAATAGGCTACATACTACGACATTTTGAAAATGGTCTACCTTTTGTAATGCAATATGTAATAAAAAATTTTAATATTTGTGTAAAAAGACCATTTTCTCAGACTTTTTAAGACCTACATGTATAGGTTATTATTACAGATATAGCACAGCTTACATAATGGTCACACTTTATTTTAAGGTCCAATTCTCACTATTAACAAACCTTTAACTATTACTTTTGCCTCAATAAACTCTTAATTTGCTGCTTATTAATAGTTAGTAAGGATGTTGTTAAGTTTAGGTATTGAGTAGGATTAGGGATGTAGAATATGGTCATGCAGAATATGTGCTTTATAAGTACTAGTAAACAGCCAATATGTTACTAATAGGCATGCTAATAAACAACTAGTTAATAGTGAGAATTGGTCCCTATACTAAAGTGTTACCAAAATACTTATACTAATACTATACACAGACAAACTATAATTAGCAGAAACTAAGGAAAAGTCCACTCATTCAAAAAACAGAGACAGTTAACGAATCAAAGGGAGGAAACCTCTCATTCATTCCAGCTGGTTTGGAACTGATGGACGGGTTGGAGACATGAACTTGAAAGAGGTCATGTTCTCCCACCCCCATAGATAACAACTAATGACCATGACTGCTCATAAAGCAGTATAATTAGCTAGAGCCCCAGGGACTATTATATAGGGTATTATTTTCCAATAAGGGTATGCTTTCATGTGCTCTGCGGTCATTGTCAGGGGCTCCGTTTCCAGGTTTTGGGAGTTGATAGGGCTCTCATAAATGCTTCAGTTGCACCTATACACATTCACTTTAAGGTGCTAAGTCTACTCAACAGAGAGAAACAAAAACTAGACAGTAGTATTTTATCAGACAAACAGCAGTTGGTCTCTATACATGGATTTACAAGTTTATAGACAGGACACATAGTCTACGGAAGTTTAGTAATGGCGTTTACATTGTTGGCCAATGGTGCTCTGTCTGCTCTAACAGCACTAATGCAATACTTTCATTTTTAATTACTAAATATTGAAATGACAAATGGTTAGTATCTGTCCATGACATTAATAAATTCCATATTAAAACAACAAAGAAAAAGATCTGAAACTCTGAAACCTTGAATCTTTAAAAGTTTTTTAGGAGTGGCCTGCCCAATACCGTCTAATGACAAAGAAGCCAAGTCAATGCTAGATTTACAATAAGAATCTGACACTCGCCCAGGCCTGAACAGTATTACACACTGTGCTTTGGTGTGGAACTAATATGTGTTTGCACATGAACACATGCAGTTATTGACTACTAGCGTTTTGATGTGGTTATTGTCTCACCTGGCCAGGTGTAACTTCGGATGAGTGGGAAAGAGAGAAACTCACAGCTGTACCAGGTGGTGCCTTCTGGTTTAAGTTGAAACCTGCTAACTTCAATGTAAGCTTTTCCTATAAGTTGTGTGTAACTTTACTTAGCAATTGCAACATAAACATTTCACCATATCAGAAAGAATCAATGAGGCAATTGTTTTAGGCGGAAGCAGCATACAACAGTAGGTCACTGGTAAAGTTTAGTTCTCTTTGATGGTGGTAACTGTTAGATATTTGTTATGTTTCCATGGTTCCATTGATACATTATGGTTTTATTTATAAGATTAACCACACGTCGACTCAATGGGATGTTAGTGTTTGTATGTACACAAACACTGATGACTGTATTTGGTGGCAAGAGAAAAAGTGTTGCAAAGTGAATGTGGCAAATAATGTTCTTAAAGACTTCCTCTTCGCACTTCAAACAGTTTATAAGGAATAGTTCACCCTATTTACTCACCCTTGTGCCAATTTTCTGTTTTCTGCAGAAGACAAAAGAAGATATTTGAAGAATGCTTTTATCCATACAATAAAAAAGTGGGTGCAACAAGATCAAACTCCAAAATGGACATAAAAAGCTGTGTAAAAGTAATCCAAACAATTCCACTGGTTTAATCAAAGTCTTCTTCATCATCTTCTTCTTCAGTTTTATATTATTCTTTGTTTGATGAATAGAGTGAAATGCAAATAGTTATTCACTTTCAAATCAAACCATTTATTAAGCCCAAATCAAAATGGTGATCCATCAATAACATCATACCCCATTGGTTCTTGTGCCATGATGTCAAGTCATATGACACACAAGAACCAATGAGGATTGACAATACTTTTAAAAGATCTTCTTTTGTGTTCTTCAGGAGAAATTAACCTCACATGAGGGTGAGTAAAAGATAACAGACTTCATTTTCGGGTGACCTATTATTTTAAATGTGTGCAAAACCTGTTTCTATAGAAACTGCTGCATCTTGCTATAAAGACACTCAATGACGTGCCATAAACATTAAAGTGCTGAACATTCAAGGCCAATAAGCAATAAGACTTAGAGAATTTGGGTTTAGGTTGTTGGGAGTGTGCGTTCATATATTTAGCTACTTTATCCCCTCTCATATTTCTAAAGCTTCTCCGATTCACTCTCAGTGAGAAGTCATGAAAGGATTTTTTTTTGTTGAGACCACACCCATGTAGGTCTATCCCACCACAGTGACCCAGCAAGCCTTCGTTTGATTCACGTGGGGAACATCCATCAATGTCCCTAATAGATCTCCCTGCAAATCCTCACACCTTCCTTGATTGCAGCTATTTTTACAGAACGGGATAAAAGATATGTAATAGGCCCCTGACTCGAGCCAATGACTATTCTTCAACAGTTGTGAGGCAGAAAACTTGTAGCTCGTTCTCACCCACCTGTTCAAAGACCATGCAATCTTTCTTTTCTTTTTTTAAATCAATTACATTGACATTGTTTTTCTCTTTTTCATTTGATTGATGGCTGTTTGCAAACCTAACAAAAATGTAAGCAAAAAAGAAAAAAGCCTAATGTTTTCCCTTACTGCGTTGTTGTCATACAGTGGCTGTCAGACTCAAATTTCATCTATATTTTGTCCTTCTCCAGCTGTCCTTTTGCTTAGGCTTTTTTTATCCATCCTGTGCTACTCATACTTTTAATTATGGCCGCTTTCAGTGAGGATACATTTTCTTGTGTGACTTTACAAGCAGTGAAGTCATTTAAGTGGGGTGATAATTAGTTCATGGCAAACATTCTTGATATTTCAAACTTCCTGTGAGTTTCTTGGAACTTCTGTGTGTAACTTTATACGTTTTCTTTCATTCTTGGATTTCATTTTATTTTTCATATAGTAGTAGTTTATGTTGCTACTACTAGTTTTGTGAAAAAAAAACCTGAAACTAACAGGTGAACAATTTATACTGCTATTTGTTTGTTGGTTTTTCTAATGTATATTTACAAAGAAAAAAGTAAATTTCCTTTCTGGAAGTCTAGACTGCCTCATTGTGTGTTCACACTGGTGAAAACATTGTTTGGGTTTACAAGGTAGGAAGGATATCTTTTCTAACATGAACAAGGCTGCAATTCTTTAACACACTGTATGCAATAAAAAACACCACCCAGCTGCTCTGAACAACCAACACAAGTTTGACCACCACTAAAGTCTGGTCTTGTTTGTCTAGACAAACAGAAGTGCCCAGAAGGGAATATTTCACAGCATCTGAGTTCCATATGTGGACTCTTAATATTCCTAAAGTAAAATGATCAGTGTGATCGTTGGTCCATGTATTCTTAATTGCCATCATCAAGACAATTAGCACACATCTTGTTTTCTATCAGTTGCATTCGAGAATCAACTTCCGAGAAGTTAACTGAACACATTTGCATGCACACCAATACGCTGATAACTACAAAAATCAGCTTATTGAAATAACCTATTTGACATTTAACAATAACTCGGCAATGCAAGAAACCTGTTTCTCCTTTCATGTTTGAATAAGTACCACCTCTCCTTCGGCTGTTCAAGATGAGAACGCATTTTTATAATTTCAGAGTTTACATAATGTGTCTCTGTCTCTTCAGATAAGCTGCAGCCACAAGCTGTACATTTATATATATATACAATAAGCATATGTATATATATATATATATATATATATATAATTGCTTTTTTATACTAATTAACTTAAATGATTTTAGCAAATGGCTGCAATATAACAAAGAGTGAAAAATTTAAGGGGGTCTGAATACTTTCCGTACCCACTGTATATATATATAATTGCTTTTTTATACTACTGAAATGTATACAGACATAATAAGTGTGCAAGCATTTAATGGATGCCTGTTCACACAAGTTTTCTTCATTTGCTTGACATGTGGTTCGTCTTTTTGGTGGGAACTTAATGAAAGGACAAAGGTCAAGCAATTCTAATTAGAGAGCATACTGTCAATGAGCTCATGGTCATTTTTTCAGATACAACATTCCAGTAGTTTCACTGAAGTCTATACGGACTGCAGTGTTCCACAATTCAAAATGCTACAATGACAGAAACAGTGATAGGGCTGCAAAATTAATTGAAATAAAATTTAAATCGTGATATGACTTAGTGAGATTACCAACCTGAAAAGGCTGTGATTTACATAAATAAATATTTGCACTGCATGAAATGAGTATTATAATTAGTCAAATAAATGTTATTATTCAAATTTTTTCAGAAATACTTTATTTTTTATTTTTACAGTGAAATGGTATGGTGATGGTACAGTAATATTTGCCCTTAACTGTCACCCCCCATTTTTTAAAATAGGCATGCAGGTGCACATGCTTTTCCTCTGCTTCTTTATCCGTTCACTGCCATGTTTAGTTGGCTCTAAGATGCTTGTGATTTAGCTGTCTCCTGGTTATTCTCTTGAGTTTAAATTGGAATTAAAGATTGTGTGCTGGATTACTCCTGCGTCGTGCGCTTGTCTCCTTAGAGCACCGTACCTGTGACACACACATTTTTATACTTAGTTATATTTAAAAAAAAAAAAATTCAGTTTAATAAATTCAGTTGATCTTTATACCCCCATTTTAACATGGATTTCTATGGAGACCAGAACATGAGAGCATCTAACCAGAAGGTGGATAGTTTGAATCCAAAGGTAATTTACTTTTGAACATATATTGGTTTGTGATATACAATAAAAAAAACTAATAAACAACAATTTTATTATAATCTGTGACATCTTGTCCTATTTTTTTTTTTTAAATAATAAACATAGCTGACCTTCCACACACACAGTTTCAGGCACATGTTTGACTGATGGGTCTCTGAAAAGACAGAATTCACAGGAAGGGCATCCGATAGCACATTCTCTCTCTTCCAGCTTTCTATTCTAGTGTCCTAGAGCAGCGGCTTCACAGGCCTGGCTGGGGGGTTGGGATATTGTTATCTCAGGCTCAGTTTACTATGTACCCCAGCTCAGCCTAACGATACTATTCTGATGTGTACGGTCCACTCGTGTCTTTGTGTAAGCCTGCAAAGAAAGTATTTGTGTTAAATTGGATAGCAAGCAGCTTTCCTGCTGATAATTGAGTGGCCATTTGTAAATTTTAATACAGATGTCACTGCACGCCATTGTGTGAACAAGCCTACTGGTTAAACAAAACATGAAGTTTATCAGTTTTCAATGAATGTGAGCATGTCCATAAATGTCTCACACATTTGTTATGAAATATTAAAATTATCTGCCTTTATATTAGTATATGCATTATATGCATTTACTGTATATCAGCATGTCATGCTTTTTCACAAATAACATCAATACATTTTAAGTGCTCTTCTTTTGTAAAACAGATGTTTTAGCTTGAGGTAAGTGGTCATGTCAAAGGCTAAATACATGTAGGAGGTTATTAGCTGACTTTACAGCTCATGGGAAAAACAGTAAAGTGGATTTTAGCATTTTGGAGCCTATTTTCTTTTGTCAGCAAGATAATAGTCCAAATGTTGTATGCTGATGTATAAATGTGAAAAAATTACTATAATTAAAAACCGTATCAACTCTCTGTTTTACAGATCTCTGAACCTGACTGATGGGTTTTTTAAACTGGAAGTAACAGCTGAACTAAATTGTACACTATGTGAGTCATTGTTAGAACAACGTTGTTTGAATATACATACAGCACTAAGAAAAGTCTGTAAAAACAGGGCCCCAGTGTATTGTGTTAATGTAAAGGAATTTTCTGTATAAATTCTCACTAGTGTTTCACTCATATTTTAAAATGCATTGTGTTGTTTTATGGTTAAAGGAAATTCATAAACTTAGTGGAGTACAACTGAATGGAGAAACTTAATGGAGTTTCTGTTTTTCTGCAGATTTTTGTTCCTACGTTGTATTACAATTAGCATAATATTACCTGTTATGTTAGATTTTAATATTGTAACTATTTTAAACCTAATTTATGAAAATCTAATCTAACCTTAAAAGGATAATGTTGTAAATGTTCAACCAGCTTTGTATTGTTGGTGGCTGTATATGTAAATGAACAATGTGTACTTTTTCCATGTTATTGCACCCAGATATCACAATTTATTTTCCAAGCAAAAGGATGCTTGGAAAATAACAGAATGATGCAAAACATGTCACTTTGACAGCTCCAGGCTTTTTAATAAAACTACAGATTGATTCTTTGTTTCTTGTATTCCCGCCCATTGACAGAGCATATATATCAATATATAAATTTGTTGAGTGTTGACGTGTATGGCAAAAGTGACATTTGTACATTTTTTATTAAAATGGATCTGTATGTAAAGGAAATTCTGTAAAGGAAATCTCATCAGTGCCATAGAGCTCACAGTTCCTCTGTTGTATGTACAGTATATATATATGTTTTAATGCCTATAACTGTTAACTGTAAAATGTATACATTCGCATAATATAACTTTGATCACTGTAATTTTTTTGGAATTCTAATTCTCTATGTAATGCTTTCATTTTTGTAAATGTCCATTGGACTTTATGTTTTGGGTTAAAGGCTAGTTTTATTCATTTGTATTAAGATGTGTCTTCTTAAACTGCTGTAAACTACACAGTCTAAAGAAACATATAAGCCTACTGTTGGGTGCAACATGGGTTTATAATTAGTTGCTTCTGCCTTCTAATAACATATTGTCAAGTAATACAATAAAAATTTATCTTGATCATACATGGCATTTAATATTACTTGTAGTTTACATGAATCTCTTTCTTGAAAAACAGTCTTGGTTTTTAAATAAACATGTACTTTAAGTTAAAGACTTTAATATCTTCTATATCAAATTGTAGTTTATGATATCAAGTCATGTTCTGGCTGCCCATTTGACTTATTACTGCAGTTACAGTTCAACAGTAACCACAAAAGCAGTTTGTCAGGTGTATGTTCTGTCTGTAATAAAGCAAGTTTACTGTATGAGAACTGTATTAGAAACTGCTTTAAGTAACCAAGCAGATGCCAGCATAGATGGTTCCATAACAAGCATGCAATAAAAGTTTTATTTCTGGTTTGAAGTAGTTAATATTGCATTTATGAGTTGCCTCCTCCTACAAAATTTGATACCAGATTAGAGACCATCAGCTATTTCATGACAGCTGAAACAATTTCAAACTCAACAATATTACAATAAATTATAATAAAATGTCTTACTCATCTAAAATGTGTTGTCTCTGACAAAGTGTCTTAATTTTACATTTTCTATTATGTACTAAACTTTGTATATTGCCTCCTGTTGCAATTTTCCAGGTGCACACTGAAGCATCTCAAACCATGTGTGCTGTGTGATAAAAGACAGGAATTAGTTGTCACTTCAGAAAATCAAACACCTGGACATCAGTAGACCTTGAACTGACATGTTTATAAAAACAAGAGGAAGAGGAATGTGAGGAAGTAGTAGGTAATGTATAGTGAGGGCATCTATGCTGCCTTGTGGATAATACCTAGCATCTTAGAGAGACCTTCCCAGCATTTGAATCAAAATCATGAATACAACATAAAAGAAAAAAGAAAAAAAAACAGGAAGCCAAGAATGCTATTAAAATACAAGAAGTGTAATAGGTTGTGCTGATATTATATTTTTAATATTAAATAAATAAGGAATAATTGACAATGGGTCTTTGCATTGTGGCCGCATTACCACCTCGGGTGTGTATTGTTTTAATCTAATAATTCAACAGATCGGAGTCAATTATTCTGCTTATACTACAGTTACCACACCTCAAGACATTGTTCATACGTTGTATTTCAAGACATTTGTCAGGTTTTAAAATAACCATGTGTGTAGGGCTAATTTCTTTCGCATCTCATCCCACACTTCCATTGCTAATTACAAAATGTCATTTTAGACAAGGAGGTTTGAGCCGTTGATAGCAGACTAACACAGTTATTAATGCAGAGAGAGACTAGTAGCAAAACAGTACGTTTATTTGCTTCAAAAACAGTGCTGTTATTACCTTGCTAATGACAAATATAATGTAGCTTTTAAGTTGCTAGATTATTTTACTGCTAAAATCATCAAAGCAACGCTGACAACACATTTCTGTGCAAGCATGTGCCCACACAGTACGTGTGCGCGCTTGTAAAGGAGAGAGAGCAGGAGAAAGAGAAAATGTGCTTTCCGTACATAATAAAATTAATTTTGAGTTATTATTTGTGTCCTATTGTTTACTATATTTATTTGCTTGGTCAGTGTCATTGTGGATTTTGGTTATTTTGCTGTTGTAGGCTGTAACGACCTTTTAAATAAATGAAATCATTTGGAAAAGTGATAATGAACTGTAATGAGGTCAATACCTGCCTGGAAATATTTTAGACATGCGTTTCCCTGAAAATAATTGCACATTTTAGAACTTTCGTCAAATAATCAGAATCAAGCATTCAGCAGCCCCTTTAGTATAAATGTAAAATACTTTAAGACAACTAAAAAAAAATTACTTCTATAAAATAATCTTGTATATTCCGAAATAGAAAAAAAAAAAATTAAAGAGAAGAAGACCCAACAGAGACCGACAAGTCTACAGCACACCTACATAACACTGTACAGTTCTTGTGGTCAGCTGATGGACACAGTGGTGTGTGATTGGGAGAAAGGGAGGAGACTGAGGAAAGGTATCGCAAGAATGCTGACGTGACCATAGCGCAAGAGGAACGGTGACACTGGGCAGGCCAGGCAAAAAGCCACCCCTCTCCCAGCTCACCCTGTGCTTGATCCAGAGGAGTAAATTATCCTAGGATCCTCTATTTATACAGTGTGTATATTTACAACGGTGGATGATTGGGATGCTGCAATGTGCGAAAGCAATGTGAAAATGTTGCCGTCCTTTCTGGGAAAGAGTTATTCTGAGGCAGAGAAAGTTTTGGCTGATGCTGGCAAAGCTGAATATCATAACTACCATGACTTTGAGGGCTTGGTCCACTGAACCTGTCCTGAACTAACCCAATAAAAGTTTGGATGAAACATCCATTTTTATTTCAGAAAGCTGTTCCTAACAGTATTATATCACTCTTCTCAGAGGAACTGTCTATATAAAGTATTAATATAATAACACAAAGCACAGAACATCCTGACATTCCCTCAGGAACCCAATTATAAAAGATGTCCTAAAGGCACTAAAGGTTACCTGCTTTGCTTTAAAGTGACACAATTTATATGCAAGTGCTGATTGATTAGCATGTGGCTGTTGACATATTTGTTGACAATATTTTCACTTTATTGAGGGACATGTAGAGGCACCCTTCCTGTGCCCAACCATGAGTGTATTGACATAGTGCATAGTAGCGTGTTGTCTGTTAGCATGCTTGACCTATACTATGGCTGAAAAGGTGAAGGGTTGAACGCTGGTAGCGGCGTTCGTCTGTAATCTATGTATCCTGAGACAGTGATGCATGGTCACAACTGCTGTGTACAGCTGGATACAGCCATATGTTAACACGGCTATATGTCAGATTTAAGGCTGGGAGATGTTCAACTAAGATAACAATACCGGACTTGCGAATGGTACTGTCAATAATGACTAATGTGACTTCGTTTCTAAACAAATTATGTTTTTATGTAGTCTAGTGGCTATATGCATATGGTTCACTTTTTCTGTGTGGAGCTGTGGGGTTTCTAAACATTTTTTGGTAAATTGCTTTTCAGAAAGTGTTGTTTTATAGCCCTAGATCAGTAGGTTTTTATTATTTTTATGTCAGAAAACTGACTGGTAGGATCAGAACAACTGTACATACATTTAACTTAATCTGACAAAGTGTAAATTTATAGCTAGTACTGTGCTGGCTGGCTTCCACCTATCAATCGGTACTACACTAACTGTCCACTTTAGGTGCTTGAATGTGTATTGGTTAGAAGTGCACCAAAAGTTATTTTAGCAAAGTAACAAAATAGAAACAGACTCATCAAGCACCTGTGGCATGCTGGGTATTCGGCGAATGCTAACAGGGGTTTTTCACAAGCGTTGCTAGGAGTGGCATAGTGTGGTCCCAAACACGTATCCGAATAAACAGAGTGCCCTTTATTTTGGTTCATGTTATTAAAGGCATCAAACAATTAATTAGTGGAATGCTAGTTCCACAATTTGCATTGTTAAATCCTGTGTATATTTACTCACCATGAATATTTATGACCTTTGCGTTCTCCAAGGGATTTCTGGTTCACAATGTGCTGAAAGGTCTGGATCACAGCAAATTTAAACTCATAAATTCAAGCTTTGGTAGTATTTTAGAAAACTTATATCCATCTGAACCTAGTGAGGGTCACTGGGGCAGAGGAAAATCTAAATGCTAATTCTATTCATCTCAAGGCAAACAAGATGTTGAACTATCAGTATTAGTAAACTCTAAACATGATATATGATCAAATAAGTAATTATTATTTATATAATTTATAATCTATCTATACAATTATAATTTACATTAACCTTGATTAATAAATGTAAAAAGTATTGTTCATTGTTAGTTCATAATACATAATGCATTAACAAACAAACTGAATCTTATTATAAAGTGTTAACCAGTTAAATTATTTTGGAAACTGCGATTAACTGTATCTTGGGACATAATTAAACATCGAAACATGTGCATATGTTCAGTAATATGATGCTTTAAGTAAATGACTCTTGTTGAGTTTACATGAATGGAGTTAATTAGTTGTAATGAACTAGGAAATGTCAGTTATCTGAGAAAATGATGACCGAAACAAAAATATTATTGGTCATTCATCGGATATGTGAGGTGGTATCAATTCCCATATATCCGCTTTAAACTCTGCTCCATAAAT